TAGAGAACTCTATTGTTATTGTTAAGTGGTGTTGAGTTCAAGTACAACTCATAGTAAACCTATGAATAGCAGGTCTGGAACCCTGTCCTATCTTGTGCCATTCTCATTATCTTTGATAAACTTAAGCCCATTGATGTAGCCACTATGTGAATCCATCTTGTTGTGGTTCTTCTTCTCTTTTGCTGACCCTTCACCTTTCCAAGCTTGATGTCCTTTCCCAAGGAATAGCCTCGCCTCTCCTAGCAAAATGCTCCAAATATGAGAAACAAAGCACTGGCATTTTTGCCTCCAGGAATCACTGACTTCATTTTCCCCCAAGACATATCTGTTTGTTTTTTTTTTTTTTTTTTTTTTTACAGTCCCTGGGCCATTGAATACTCTTATCCAACACCACAGTTCAAAGGCATCAATTATTTTTTCTATCATATGGAACTCTGGTAGCCTAGTGGGTAAGGAGTTGCACTACCAGGCAGTTCAAATCCACCACAGGATCTGCAGGAGAAAGATCAGTAACCTACTTCTGTGTGATTTACAGCCTCTAAAAACCCACTGGAGGGTCAGCTGTGAGTCAGATCAACAGCATCCACAACACAAAGGTTTTTTAAAATAAGTGAACTGGGGGAGGGGGAAGAGAGTGAGAAAAGGTAAGATATTTAACAATGAATGAAAATCTAATTTTCTGTAAACTTGTGTTAATATCACAATTAAAATATAAATTTTTTTAAAAAAATAGTATGTGATATATCCATACAATGAAAAAAACACAATAACACATGAGGCTGGACATGTCCTCCATGCTCCCACACTTACTAAATTCCAACACCAATCCTATTGCTCTACTAGGTCTCAAATTTGTTGCAATAGCTACACAGACCACACAGACTCATACTCGTTATTGTGGGGTTTATTAGGAAAGATAACAGGTTGCAAACAGGATACAATTTCTCAGTCAAGACAATGTTTTAAGCATGCTCACAGGACCCTCAGTCTTCAGTCTTGCAGCTTTAAACTGGTGTTAAAAAAGGTCTCCTTTTTTTTTAATTTAGGTTGTTTATTTTTCATTTCAATGAACATCTACAGAGATTTTGGGATTCCATTCATTCATTGTTGCACCCTTCTCCCCGCA